AGAGAGAGAGAGAGAGAGAGAGAGAGAGAGAGAGAGAGAGAGAGAGAGAGAGAGAGAGAGAGAGAGAGACAGAGAGTCGTTCAAACTACACAAAAACAGGTTTGTTGAGAAGGGCTTTCTACTTACTCTTCGAGATGCGCGCCTCTCTTCTGCACGTTGTTCCATTTCTGCAATCTTCTCTGGCGGAGGAGAGGTGACTGGGCGCATTTTCTTCCCTCCCATCCTTGACCTGTAATGAAAACAACAAACAAGGACTTCCTTCGTTAACATTCTCTCTCTCTCTCTCTCTCTCTCTCTCTCTCTCTCTCTCTCTCTCTCTCTCTCTCTCTCTCTCCCTCTGTCTCCCTCTCTCCCTCTCTCTCTCTCTCATTCTACCGAAGAAGAAGAAGAAGAAGAAGAAGAAGAGAAGGAAGAAGAGGAGGAGAAGGAAGAAGAGGAAGAAGAATTTAATAACCTGCAAAATTGCAGACTGTGAAACCAGTGCTTTTCTGAGTTTTGCTGCCGTTCTGTGTGCTTGATAGATTTCTGCTGTCTGAGTCCATGTGCCTGTGTGTGCGTGCATGCGGCTGAGTGCGTGGATTGGTGTGTGTTGAGGCCAACAGGCATGGTACAATCCCTGTTCTGTGCGTCGACTTGGGCAGCGGGAAGCTTAGAGGGGAAAGTAGGCCCGCGGTAGCCAAAAGCAAAGTAGCAGCGGGCTGGTTAGTCCGATGATAATAGCTCAAGGCCATCACCCTTATAATTAAAAAAAAAAAAAAAAAAAAAAAAGGCACAAATAGATAGTGGTGGGTCAGCGGAAGAAGTGCTTTGAGGTCCAGTAGGTCAAGGGTTTCGAGGAAGGCACCGGCCTGGGTAGAGCCTAAGTCTAGGGCCCAAAAGGGCAATATCAGACTGAATGTTCCCGCCAAAACGGGAAGGGAATCGGTTGGCCTTGGAGTTTCCACGCTGCTCACGAAGTCACTTGGGGAAGATGCAGCAGCCAAAGTATTTGAGGAAGGGTGGTGAGCTGCTCCGCCTCATTCTTTGTGTGGCCAGGCAGCAATGCTTCTGAACCGTGCACTCGGTGAATGAAGTGCCAAGCCGCAGCAGCAGCAAGGTGGAGATGCAGCCCATCCTGGCTATGGTGTTTAGACTCTTTAGAGCCAGGGCACGGTCGAGAAGGGAATGGCTATGGCGGACAAGTGAGAAACACAAAGGACGAGGAGGAGAGTGACGAAGGCGGCTTACATTGGCTGTGGTGGACTGCATCTTCATCGCCTTAGCTGGCGCTGCACCCGGAAGGCCCCTCGTGGGGGTTGCAATGTGGTGAGGACCCCAGAGTGAGACGTAGGCTTCGTGGTAATAAACAGGCCTCTGGAGGACTACAGCGAAAGATTGATCGGATGCTTCACGTCTTCTTGCTCCGGCCAGACCGTTCTGCTCCTCGGGCAAACATTTATTTCCAAGGGTACGGACTGCAGAGTTGGTAGATTTGAAAGCAGTGAACGACTAGGATTTGAACCTACAACATTCAGATCATGAGCCCGACGGATTACCAATCACTCTATCCCATGCGTGTGGTATTAGTACGGAGCCCTCAGCCTCTTTGCATTTGCACAAGAAGTGGGAGGGGCCGAAAGAGTGTTGTGTTGTCTTCTGGACAGCCGGGCTAGCCGGGCTAGTCCTGGATGCGGCAGCCATAGCCAGATGCGGCGGCCATAGCCGGATGCGGCGGCCATAGCCGGATGCTCAACAAAGCAGTGGTAGAAGGTGTAGGAGGTCCAAGGTGACTTATTGTGAGGCCGGCAGTAAAAAGGAGAATGGGACATTTGGTTGTGGTTCATTCGCTCATTCATTGTTATTGTTTATTATTATTATTATACAAGTCATTACGCGCCCTGCAGTCCCTGGCCGCGGCTAACAGCCACGGTCAAAAAGTTCTTTGTCTGAACTGGCCAGCAATCCCCGTGAGCGCATCTCACTGCGAGAATCAGCGCCGGGCACAATTCGGCCTTTCGTGCGGCCAGAGGCTGTATGTGGGCTGAGTGGTATTATCTAGCCTGGGTGATATTATGCGGGCTCATATCATCTGGGGCGGGTCACACCATGTGGACAGGGCAGCATTATGCGGGATGTCGGTCAGGCAGCACTACGGTCACATTATGTGGACTGGGCGGTACTAAGTGGGCAGGGCGGTATTGTGTGTCGCGGGTGATATTAAGCAGGTTGGGTGGCACCATGTGGGGCGGCCCATACTATGTCTACCTGTTCGTACTATGTACCCCAGGTGATACAGCGCGTGTTCGGTGGTGGCGCGTGAGGTGGGTAGTATGCGGACCGGATCGCTGCAGGCCGGTCCAGTGTGGGGCAGGGTGGATCATAATATGTGGACAGGATGGCACAGCAGGCTGGCCGGTGCTGCGCGAGGCAGGTGAGTGACGTTACGTCGGGCGGTACAAAAGCGGAAAGCTCCCTTGAAAAAAAAAAAAAAAAAAAAAAAAGCCAAATCGGTACGCCCATCAACGGTTGATAGGCAGAGCGGAGCTCAAATCCTGTCACTGTGAGGGCAAACTAATACCAGGAGTTTTCATACTAAGCTCTGGACGTGATTGCAGTCAGATACATTTAGAAAAGTAGAAAAGTGCTAGTACGAGTATGCCGGGAGGGCATACTCACACTCGGAGTTTCTCCACAGAGGGTAGGACGTGATGGGTATACTACACACACTCGGAGTTTCTCGACAGACGGTAGGACGTGATTGCAAAAAAGCGGATTCGTCACGGTTTTCTGCACCTCTCCTGGAAGACATCCAGATTCAGGAGTTCCATCCAATCCTGTGTGCTAGGGGGTGGCCCTCGACCCGGGCCTCCTATGAATTTATTAGCCAACATCGCTGCAAATACGACCCAAACCAGAATGAAGGGCCACGAATGCCAAATTCGCACGAAACTGGAAAGAATCATGGAAAATGACCGACGGCCGCCAGCGCAAAAGACAAACTTGCCCTATATCGAAAGAATCGCCACGGGTAGCACCAGGAAAGACAACTTGCCCAAAACGGAAAGAATCGCGACAGGCAACCATTTGCCCGAAATGGAGAGAAGACAGCGAAACGCCAGAAACAGGTGTGTCAGATAGTGAATTTGAAAACACGGTTTCAACTCCCGTTATTCGCCTCTTGCATCTGAACTCTGGCGAGCCTAAATCCAGCCAAAGCTGGCGTCATGGCGAGCCTAAATCCCGCCAAAGCTGGCGTCAAGACAGTTATTCATTGACTGAAGTCAATGAGGAAAAGACGTGCGACGCCTCGAGGTACAACAGAACAGCACCACAGGGTTTGACTCCCTGACCTCAAAATCAACAAACAGCCCCGACAGCAAGAACCACCCAGATTGAATCTGGGAAATGCACGGGACTTTTCGACTTGTAGACATGGGACCTGCAGATGTGCTGGAATGTTTTTTTTTTTGGCTGCACCCATCGGGAGCGCCTTCCGGGGCCCGGCTCATGCTTTAAATATTACGTAGATGTAAATCTTATGTAGATGTAGAGTTTCTTTTTGTTCAAACCTTCTGCACCAATGAACATGATTTTGTCACATGGGAGGAGTTTTGTATTTTGATTACAGGTGTTATCTTATATCCAATACAAAAATGATACTAGTATGTATCAGTCCTATGTTGTAGACTATATAACTTTGGCCATAAGAATCAATTTCTAATCTCATAGCCTTATCATGTAGAAGAAGATGTTGGCGGAGATGATAGGGGAGAGAGATGGCGGCCAGCGAGCAAGGACTGACATTGGTTCCAGAGGCTTTTACCTTATCCTTGAACCATCATAAATTTCGCCATTGATAATGTTAAACCCTGTGTAGTCATGCTGCTCCTTGAGCAACCGCCGCCTGGTAGAATCTGCAACCTCCCTCCTTGCCTCTCGTTTCGCGTCACCCTCTTTCCGCTCCCTGCGTACAGCAGGATTAAAAAAAAAAAAAAAAAAAAA